GGCCGTCGATGGGCCCGTGTCGGGAGCCCGCAGCGACCCAGGGGGTGCCCCCAGCGCCGCGAGCGTCAGCGAGACGCATCCAGCGTTGCGAGGATGGTCGGAGGCGAGCCTGGCGGGCAGCGAGGCGGGCAGCAGCGCGCCGAGCGCGGCCGCCGCGGGCGCGACGGGGCGGGCTTCCAAGCGGAACCGCCGCCGGACCAACCAGACGTCGCACGGCCAGCCACCGACGAAGCGGCGGTGGATCCCGACGCTCAAGCGAGCGCGGAGGCGCTCGCTCGGGAGGACTACGAGGCCCAGGGCTGGGGGTTTGCATGGGATCCTACCGGGTGCCCCCGCAGCGGCTGGGTTGGTGCCGCGACTGCGCTGTCCTCGACGACTGGAAGACCATGAAGGCGGAGTGCGTCGACGAGCTGACAAGGGCCGAGCTGGCCAGTTCGGGGCGGCGCTGGAGGCGAAGCCCGGGCACCCTGCGCTGCGGCGGGGCAGGGGGGGGGGGGGGCAGCGCGTCTACGCCTGCTCCAAGTGCGCGGCCAAGCACGAGGGCAGCGACGAATGCGAGGCGGCCGCGAAGGCGGCGACGCTCAAGAAGGGCGCCGGCTCCATCCAGCACGCGCGCAACCGCGTCGCCAAGTTCCGGGAGTCCTTCGACTTGCCATAGGAGAGTCATGATGTGCTGGCGGGCGACGCCCTCTCCGAGGACGGAGAGCTGGCCCTGCGGCGCGCCGCCGAGGGCGCGGGCGCGGGCATTGGCCCGCCCAGCAAGGGCGCGCCGCCGGCTACGGAGGCGGTCGCAGCGGAGGTTGGGCGCCCGATGGCGGCGAAGGAGGCGCCGAGGTCGCCCCGCGTGCCTCCGCCGCTCGCCGAGGGCGACGCCGCCGACTGGGACACGACGGCGGCGCCGCGCCCCTGGGCCCCGACGGACCGCCGCCCCGCGTCGGAGGAGCCCAACGTCCGTGACGTCAAGAGGGCGTCGCCGACGTCCGTTCCGTCTGAAGCTGGGCTACTCCAAGAAGGCGCTCAAGAAGATGGCGAGGTGCTACGGCGGCGTGCGGAACGAGACCATGCGGACGTGCATGAAGGGCGCCCTCGGAGCAGTCCTCGAGAAGAAGAGTGGCATGATCGGCGCGGTGAGCTGCGCGAAGGGCGTGGGGGCCTGACCCGAGAAGCTGGATGCTGCTCCAGCGGAGTGCCGCGCGGCGAGGGCCTCGGCCGACGCGGGGGGGCGCTGCGCGGACGCCCGAGGAGGGCGCGAAGGGCTTGCTCGAGGCGCGCGACAGGGCGGACGCGCACTCGGGCAACCAGCGGGCCTTCAAGGGGGAGGCTTGCGGCGACGCCGCCGTGCAGGGCGCCTATCGCAAGAAGGGCCGCTACTCCGACCAGTTCTTCTCGGACCCCCAGTTTTCGATGAACATCTTCTACGAGCGCCGCGCCAGCAAGACCTGGGATAACCCCAGGGGCTGCAAAGCCGTCATCCGCGCGGATCGCCGGACGCAGCCCCTGACCCTAGCGGAGGAGGCGGCAGGCAGCAGCGGTCAGCGCTGGCACTGCCACTGCGGGGCCCGCGACAAGACGTCCTACGGCGCGCGCGTCGAGATGGTCGACTGCGAAGCCCAGCCGCCGCGGGCGCGGCGCCTGCCGGCGGACTTCCCCGATGGGGGACACTCAGGACCTGAAGGCCCTCCTACGCGCGGACAAGCTCGAGAAGGATAACATCGCGGTGTTTGGCCCTGCGGACCTCCTGAAGTACCCGCCCAAGGTGGAGCCCCTGGCGCTCAGTACGGCATTCAAGCAGTGAGCGCCCAGGGAGCCGCAGTGGGAGGGGCGCTGGACGCTGGCGGACGACCTCACGTGGGCCGACCTCCCCGCGTTCAACTGGTGCGACCTCTACGCGCAGGTGGCGCGGGAGCTGAACGACCTCGAGTGGGCGGGCTACAACAAGAAGACCATGAACAGGCTCAGGCGCGAGAGGATCGCGCAAGCCAGTGCCGCCGTGCTGAACTACGAGCAGCGCCACAACCTGGCCGTCGGCAGCCTTGTTGGCGGGGGGGGCGCCGGGGCCGCCCCGGGTGCTCCCTCCGCTGGCGGGCCGATGGCGGACCTGGCGATGGCTGCCGCGGTGGTCGTTGGCGCCGGCGCGAGTGAGGAGCGCTCGCCGCCTCCGCCCACGCCTACGGCGCTGACCATCGCGGAAGCGCCGCCGCCGCCGCCGCCTGTGGGCCCCCCGCCGGACATCAAGTTCTTGCTGCACGGCCCCTCGGTGGAGGACAGCGAATGGGGCGGGGTGGTCCGTGCGCTCCCATCCCGACCAGGTCCTCCCAGGCAAGACCGAGTGGTTATGTGGCCTCCCCCTCTGTGAGTGAGCAGCTGCCCGCCTGCTTAGTTTCTGCGCACCGCCTCGGCGCCGCGTCAACTTGAGTTGCCACTTTGGCGCGCCAGCTGGCGGCCCGCCGAGGCCCTACCTGTGCCTCCTTTGCGTGCTCCCGCGCTTCTCAGTGGTGCTGGGGCCGCCCCGCGTGCTGCTGGTTCCACGCCGCGCGCTCGCTCTGCCCTCGAAGCTTCAGCTATGTGACCAGCCATTCTGGCCTGCCCCATCCTGTTTCTTGCTGTAGACCTTAGTCACCCGGTGCCTCCAGTGCTACAGGGGTCGGGCGGTACTGGGGTCGCCCCGCGTGCTGCACTTCCCGCTGGCAGTAGGTTTACTTTGGGCCAGGTCCGCCTCGGCGCACCTTGGCAAACTCACTGCAGCGTCGTCAAACCGCGATTCGCGCTCCGCCTTGCCTTGCACAGCGCGCAGGTGCAAGTCGTAGTAGTAGTAGTAGTAGTAGTAGTAGTAGTAGTAGTAATCGTAGTAGTAGTAGTAGTAGTAGTAGTCGTAGTAGTAGTAGTAGTAGTAGTAGTAGCAATACTAGTATGTCGTCGTAGTAGCAGTAATAGTAGTAGTAGTCAGAATCGTCGTAGTAGTAGTAGTAGTCGTAGTAGCAGTAGTAGTAGTAGTAGTAGTAGTAGTGGTAGTAGTAGTGTTGGTCGTGGAAGTAGTGGTAGTAGTAGTAGTAGTTGTTGTTGTAGTAGCAGTTGTAGTAGTAGTAGTAGTAGTAGCAGCAGTAGCAGTCCCAGTAGTACTAGTAGTAGTAGTAGTAGTAGTAGTAGTAGTAGTAGTAGTAGTAGTAGTAGTAGTAGTAGTAGTAGTAGTAGTAGTAGTAGTAGTAGTAGTAGTAGTAGTAGTAGTAGTAGTAGTAGTAGTAGTAGTAGTCGTAGTAGTAAGTAGTAGTCGTAGTAGTAGTAGTAGTAGTAGTAGTAGTAGTAGTAGTAGTAGTAGTAGTAGTAGTAGTAGTAGTAGTAGTAGTAGTAGTAGTAAGTAGTAGTAGTAGTAGTCGTAGTAGTAGTAGTAGTAGTAGTAGTAGTAGTAGTAGTAGTAGTAGTAGTAGTAGTAGTAGTAGTAATGGTAGTAGTAGTAGTAATAGTAGTAGTAGTAGTAGTAGTAGTGGTAGTCGTAATGATAGTACTAGGAGTCGATGTCGTAGTCGTAGTCGTAGTGCTGGTATTTCGTAGTAGTAGTAGTAGTATTAGTAGTAGTAGTAGTAGTAGTAGTAACAATAGTCGTAGTCGTAGTAGTAGTAGTAGTAGCAGCAGCAGCAGCAGTAGTAGTAGTAGTAATAGTAGCAGTAGCAGTAGCAGTAGTAGTAGTAGTAGTAGTAGTAGTAGTCGTAGTAGTAGTAGGAGTACAGTAGTAGTAGTAGCAGTAGTAGTAGTAGTAGTAGAAGTAGTAGTAGTAGTAGTAGTAGTAGTAGTAGTAGTAGTAGTAGTAGTAGTAGTAGTAGTAGTGGTAGTAGTCGTAGTAGTAGTAGTAGTAGCAGTAGGAGTAGTAGTAGTCGAACCAGTAGTACAAGTAGTCGTATTAGTATTAGTAGTTGTAGTAATAGTAGTAAAGTAGTAGTAGTCGTGGCAGTAATCGTAGTAGTCGTAGTCGTGGTCGGCTTCGTCGTCGTCGTCGACGTCGTCGTCGTCTTCGTTGTCGTCGTCGTCCTCAACCTCCTCATCAGTGTCAGCCTCAGCCTCAACATTATCATCGTCAATAACATGATTAGTCAACGCCCTCATAATCAGAATCATCTTCTGCAATCCCATTACTCGCCCCCACCCCCAACTCCTCTTGCTCCTGCTACTTGTTTGTTTCCTACTCGTCCTCCTCCGTTTCCACGTTCGCGCTATCCTCCTCCCTCTCTTCCCCCACATCCTCATTCCTGATTCTTCCTCCTCCTTCCTTCCCTCCTTCCTCCTGATCCTCCTCGTCGCAGCCGGGGCCGGCTGGCCCCTCGAAGGCAGAGAGACGTGACCAGCGAGCGCTTCGATCTTTTGCAGTGCGTGGGCCCCCCGAGCTCTCGACCCCTCCTCCAGGGCCAGCTGTTCCTCCCGAGGTGCTGACGGCCCTAAAGGTCAACAGTGTCCCCCGGAGGCCAAAAACAAGGCGACTAACTGGCCACCTGGACCAGAAATTGAATTACGAGGAGGATTGCGAAGGGGATGGCGAGGAGGGATGAGGATGACCAAGCGACGACGACGAACCTTGTGCACGAGGATCGGCCATTGCAGCCGAAGACTTCTGGACAAGCCCGCCCACAAACGACTCAGTGCTTTTAGACCCGTGCCTATTACCCAGAGAGACTGCAAAATAGAAACGAAAGCTACCGGGCACTGGGGCACTAGCACGAAGCTCACCAGGTTCTGATCAACCCAAGGCCGTCTCAGCCCAAAGACCATCAAAAAACGACCCGAAACGAAAAACCGTCGCCGGCAAACAATCACGACATCAGAGGTCTGGGGAGTGGGCGCACAAAAATAGAGCGGCTCCTCCGCCTATTCCTCCTCCCTCTCCGAACGTTGACGCTGCGGGCTGTGTCCTCCTCCTACTGAAGAGAGCCCTCGCCTTCTCCTCCTTCACCTCATCTTCCTCCTCCTCTCACGGCTGCCCGCTGCGTCGCAGCACAGGGAAGCTGTCCTGCCTCAGCTTTGAGGTCCATGAACTTGTCGACGATGACTCCAACGCTCAAGTTGATGAAAAACCTGGCGACGCGACGGTCTGTTGGATACCAGCGGCTAACGAGCTTGATGCCATCTGCTGCACGAGCGCATGAGCTTGATGTCATCTGATGCCCGAGCGCATGTTAGCTTGGTTGCAACAGGATGTTCACGCCGACCGTGGCGAAGAGTCGGCCGCGAGAGAGTCGCCAGTCCAACGAACTCGCGGTGTGCCAGAGCCTAGAAGCAACCTCGTGCATCCACACCGAGGAGAAACAACATGCATGTCAATGTATGCGCCGTCGGTCCCTTCCGCAGCTTAGCCAGCTCTGCGGCTGCGCAGGGAGGGGGAGGAGGCGGAGGAGGAGGAGGAGGAGGAGGAGGAGCAGGAGAAGGGACGCCAGCAGCCGATTATGAGTACTGTGCCCCTCGGTAATGCTGCGCAAACACAACCATAGCTGACAGGGGGGGCGCAGGCAGGACTGAGCAGCGCCACGCCACAGGATGAGTACGAGCATAAGGACGAGGCGGACGACGAAGAGGGGGGGGTCGCCAGCAGCCGCGTATGAGCACCGGGCCCCTCGGTGCTGCTGTTCGCCACCGTACGCCATCTGCGAACTGCCGGCAAAGAGATTGGCCATGTCGCTCCAGCACAGCACAACAAAACGAGGCTCTCCAACCAGGGCGCAGGGGTACATCGTCAGAGTTACGGAAGTTTCTCATGCAACGCACCAGCAGCCTCCACAGAGGTCACCACGAACACTTGACTAACTTCACACATGATTATTCTTCATATCCCGCTGCATAACCCAGAAACTAAACATTACATCATATACCAACTGCTTCACGTTCTATGTGTATATACATACATATATGCCAGCGTACTGCTGTAACGAGGTGTCTATAGATCTCACGATCCATGCACCGATAGCGTGTTTTTTGCAACCACATGGGGGCACGGTGCTGAAACCATCAAAAACAACGCTCGGCAATAAACGAAACCCGAGTGTCAACAGGCCACGTGCTGGATACCCGTGGCTAGCGACGGATATACATGAAACGCCGATATATATATACATATACATATACATGCACATACATATATATATATATATGCATATATACATATATATATATATATATATACACACCTGGCATTCTCATTTCCCATGTGACAAACATGAGAATGTCTGCGGGACAGCCTGTGGGACAACCAGGGGACACCTGCGAAACAACCAACGGGACAATCCACGGGACAACAACCCACAACGCAATTGACAGGACAACCATGAAACAACCCACGGGACACCTGCGGAACAACAACGAGACAACGACAACCACAACCCAATCCACAGGACGTGGGGCAACCACCGCGAGGCACTTCTGGATCGGAGACACAGCTCGCTACACTACTCTGGCCCTGGCCGTCGCTGACATAACATCGCCCTCTGCCGTCGCATTTCGATTGAAATTCGATTCGCATGTATGCCGATCACCTTTTCAAGGCTCATGTCGGTTGTATTCAGAATTTGAGTTCGAAACTTAGGCATTCGATTTGCATGTTGATTCCAATGGGAGTTGTATCTCGATTTACAATTCATGTCGGCTTGCATTTCCAAAAGGACAGCCATGGAACAATCCGCGCAGCACTCCGCGGGACAATCACGGGACATCCGCGCGACAACCAACAAGACAACCTACGGGGAAGCCATGGGACAACCCGCGGGACAAGAACCCACAGGCCAACCATAAGACAACCCACAAGACAGCCTAGGCCTGATGGGGGATATACTCGGGGCAATGACGGGGCAACCAGCCCACAGGACAAACACTTTAAATTACCATCCAGCAGAGCCCTGCGGCAGAGAGGCATGGGGGGCGGGGGGGAGTGAGCGGGGAGCGGAAAGGCCAGGCGCGCGGCCAGCAACCCGTGGCGGCAGCGCCGGCGCCCACCCAGCGCAGGGCCGGCTGGCCACGAACTCCCACGCGGGGGCCCAGCAGCCGCGTCGCATGCAGGCCACCCACCCTGGCCCCATGCGAGGCGACGTGCGCGCGCCAAGCGCCGCCAGCGAAGAGCACGCGGGCCGCCTCAGCGGGGCTCAGGCGCGGCGCTGCCGGCAGCGCTCTCCTAGCCGCGGCCGCCGCCACCGCCGCGTCGCCGCCCACGTGGGGTTTCCGGCGCCGCGGCCCATCGGTGTCGCACGCACGGCGGCGCCTGCCCGGTGATGCCGTGGTTGGCTTGGAGAGCCGGCAGCACCTGCAGCGTCCGGAAGGCGTGCAACGTGACCCCGCGAGCCTGCAGGAGGTCCGGCTGCGGCAGCCGCGCTGAGGCCGCCGCCCCGGCCAGCTCGTCCGCGGCGGCATTGCCCAGCCGGTCTTCGACACCCCGCGCGCGGCGGCGCCGCCCTCGTCTAGGTGGCCCTTTGACCCACCTCGCCGTCAGGAGCCCGAAGCGAAGCGGCAGTGGGGCGCGATGAATTCCCACAAGTCAGAGTGCGACCGCTCCCGTGGGGAAACGCCCTGCCAGAGCGCGGAGACACCGTTCTGGACGTACTGCGAGTCTGTAACGTCCTCGAGGGGCTGCTGGGCCGCGTGGAGCGCCTGCACCGCTGCCGTGAGCTCGGCGCGCTGCGCAGTCTGCGCCCCGTCGACCCCGCCGCTGTGCACGGTCGGTTCGCGCGCCCGCGGCGTCCTCCAAGCGGAAGCCAAACCCGGCGCGGGCCAGCAGCGGGTCGGTCGGGTGCTCGCATGCCCCGTCGGTCCAGGCCCAACACCGCGCTGCGGCTTCCGCGGTCGGGTGCGGCAGGGGGAGCGCGGGCGCGGGGGCGCTGGCGCTGGCGGCAGCAGCGAACGCGGTCAAGCGGGCGTCAAGCGGAAGCACGCCGGTGTTCGCGACCCCTGGCGGCAGGCGGGCCTGCAAGGCAGCGACCGAAAGGCCCCCGGCCATGAACGCCGCGTGCCTCCTGTTGGCCCACCGCGGGCAGTCCCAGAACCCGCGCTGCCCCTCGCACGTGGCTCCGCAGTCCGGACACCGCTCTGACTTGCCCCACTTCGCGGCCACCGGCTCCGTGACCACGTTGCTGGTCAGCACCGCACGCAGGGCGCAAGCTGCGTCTGGTGCCAGGGCGCCCTCCTCCTCCAGCAGCCGCCGAAATTGCCCACCTGTCAACGCCCGCCTGCACGTGCGCGAAGTCCCCGCGGGGGGCCGCCAGGACGCGGGCCTCCCGGCGCGCCCAGGCTACCAGGAGGGCGCTGCGGGTGTCCTGCAGCGGGCGCTCCTCTGGGCGCCAGCCGTTGCGCGGCGGGCACCCCCCTCCGGACCTCGACGTCGTCCCCGAACTGGAGTTCCGCCAAACTGCGGGCCGCGGCAGCTATCGGGCCCTCACCGCGGCCGTGCCCGGCAGCCAACGCCCCACGGAGAGCCTTCGCCGCCTGACACAGCGGCGCGAGGACAACCACGGCGCGGGGGTCCAGCCGCCATCCCGGCGCCAGCGTGCCGAAGACGATCTCCGCGGCCGCGCGGAATCCGCCCCTGCACACCGCCCGCCGCGCGGCGGTCCGGAGCGCGGTGAGCTCGCGAGCGGGAGGTCGCCCGCACGAGGCGCCATACAACCGGGCCGCTGTGCCCGCGGCAGCGCCCAGGAGGCATCGTTGGCCGAAGCGGCAGCGACCACAGGACAAACACGGTTCAGGTCACTTTTCACTTTGTTTTCACCTCCCCAACCTCCGACATAAAATTGAACTTTTCGGACGTCCACGCAGATTTCTTGTACTGGCGCTGACGCCCAGGCGGCGGCGGCGGCGCCAAAGGCGCCAACAGGCAGCGGGAGGGGGGCAGGCGGAAACCCAAATAATGATGTTCCCGGAAAGCTATCTGGGACATACGATTTACCGCGAATTGTCTTGGGGGCCCGCAGGGGGCTCCCAGGGGGCCCCCCTTAGGGGCCTATGGGGCTTCCGAGGGGGTTTCTTGGGAGCCTCTTGATGGCCTCCGGGGACGTCCTAGGAGCCTTTCAGGCTGGAGACCTCGAAATGTCGCACTCTTCGGGCCCTCTTGGGTCGCTCTTGGGGCTCTCTTGGGGCGCTCTCGAGGCCCTCTTGACTTATCTGGGGAGCCTCCTGGGCCGTCTCTGGGCTTTCTTGGGAGCCTCTTCGGCCGTCTTGGAGCGATCTGAAGGGCCTCTGACGCGGTCCGGGACCGTGGGGAGGCAGAACATGGGAGAGCGCAAGAATGCTTTAAAAACCATTGGAACATGTATGATTTTCGGCTTTGGGGGCCCTTTGGAGGGGCCTCTGGAGGCCCCCTTGGGGCGTTTTGGCGGCGTCGTCGGCCGTCCTGCCATCTTCGGCATGTCTGGGGCCTCTGGGGGCTGTCTTTGGGCGTCCTGGGAACCCGGAAATCATGATCCCGCAGAGGCTTCCGGGAACATGATTTCGAACGAGGCTCTCTTGCTCCCTGAGGCCGTCTTGGGGGCCTCCTGGGCCGGCTTCGGGGCCTCTTGGGCCGTCTTGAGAGGTTGCGTGAGCCCCACAGGCCGACACTTTGGGGCAGTCTGGGCCCCTCTTGGGTCTCTTGTGCTGTCTTGGGGCCTCTTGGGTCTCTCTTTAGAACCATCGCGCGAGCTTCGCGCGCGCTCAGGTTCTAGCAGGCCCCAGGCCTTGACGAATTCACTGCTCCACTGAAGTAGTGGACCACAGTCCACGCATGCAAATTTGCATTCCGAAAGGCCTTCGAGGAAACTGGTTGTGTAGGGGGGCGGAGGTCGTATGAATCGGGTTCCCAGAAGGCCTTCTGGGAGCATTGTATTGGGGCGTCTTGGGGAGCCTGTTGGGGCGTGCCGTCGTCGTCGTCGTCGTCAACGTCGTCGTCGTCGTCGTCGCAATGTCGTCGTCGCCTATTGGCGCGCGTCGTCGTCGTCGTCGTCGTCGTCGTCGTCGTCGTCGTCGTCGTCGTCGTCGTCGTCGTCGTCGTCGTCGTCGTCGTCGTCGTCGTCGTCGTCGTCGTCGTCGTCGTCGTCGTCGTCGTCGTCGTCGTCGTTGTCGTCGTCGTCGTCGTCTTCGTCGATTCGTCGTCGTCGTCGGTTCAAGAGGGCACTTGGGGCAACTTTGTGCGAGACAATATGCGGAGGGCCGCAAGAAGGCGATCAGTCATGTTCCTAATCAACTTCCCAGGCAGCTTTCCTGTAGCATGATGGTACTTCGAACCCTCTGGAGACTGGCGGGCCCATGATACATACATTCAATGTTGGAACGTCCTTCTCTGGTCGAACTATCGATATCATGATCTATCGATCGGGAACGGCATCCGGACAACCTATTGGAGAATTATCGGGAACACCATCGAGACAGTCCGTGGGAACAACCATCGGGACAACTTTCGGGACAACCATCAGGACAACCATCGGGAGAACCACCAGGACAACCATCGGGACAACCATCGGGACAACAAGATCTGTACATCCATCTATTTTCCGATCCGTCTCAACATCTAGACAAGGCGCTCATGCTCAGCCTTGCCCCCCTGACCCTTCTTCAAAAAGCGCTCGTGAAATGTTCCGGCAAACCCGAGTTCTGGCTTGCTCGAGTCTTGCGTTGCCCCGACTGTAGAGGTGGCCTCTCGGGAGCATCGCCGGGGGCCGGGAGGCCACCTCAGGGCCGCCTTCGCCGTGGGGCCCCGTCGCCCTCGCTGGCCCCCTCGCCAGTCGCCCCGACGCTCCGCGGGCTGAAACTAGGACACCGGGAGTCGGGCCTCACCCAAGTGGCACTCGGTCGCGTCGGTTTCCGAAAGCCCCCTCGGCGCTTGCCGGCGGAACATGAAAAAGACGAATATGTAGAGGACGAAGAAGAAGGCCCACAAGACCTGGCGAGTCCGAGCGCGCAGGGTGCGCACACCACTCTCGGCTTCCCAGCCTGTCTGCTCGACTCCGCATCCCCGTGCCGGGTCGGACAAGAGGAGGGGGCAGCAAAGGGGGTTCAGGTAGACAGCTGCATGCAGCTGATTGTCGCAGGGCCTCCCGACATCTGGAACGACCATGTATCGTAGAACGTGCGTAACGGCGGGGCCGAGAATAGCTGCACAGATTTCGCAGCCGTCCCTTTCCCAATCCCCCCCCTGTTGTCCGCCCTGGCCTTCCACCGCTGCGCCAATCGAATGCGTATCCGACTCCTTCGCATGGCCAGCGTGTGGAGACTGCCTGCTCAGTATACTGCGCACGCCGACCTGCACGCATCTACGTATGCGCGCCCACGAGCACGGTAAAGGGGGGCACATCTTAAGCATGCACCTTGGACGCGTCCGTGCGCGCCGAACGTGGCGCGGCGCGCAGATCACACATCATGCGCGGCGAACAATGTGAAGCACGTGCAACGCAAGCACCGCATATGCCGCACTCGTGATGACAGAATGCCGAAGAGCGAGCAAGCCCTCAAATGAGAAAGCCTCTTGGTCCCCCTCCCACACATGGCACAAGTCCTACAAACCTGCGGAGGTCGACGGGGTACCAAGAGGTCCCAGGAGTCCTCCGGCAGCCTCAAGGGGACTCTGAAGACCCCAAACAAGCGGAAAGTACGCAACATCTTGGATCTCGACGATTGATCAAGGACGAGGGCCTCTCCCCGTCCTCCTCCTCGTCCCCATCCGCCTCCTTCTCTTCGTCCGCCTCCTCCTCTGCGTCCGCCTCCTCCGGCTCCTCCTCCTCCTCATCCTCGTCCTCCTCGCCCTGCAGTCGGATTCGGTGAGGGGGGCGAGCGCCCGGATGCTCGACCTTCGCGAGGAGCCCTTGGCTCCCGCAGGGCGACCAGGAGCAGGATGCAGGGCGAGGGCGTCCGGCGATGGGATGGGCAGGGGGGGGCGGCGCCTCGGGCGGCGTCTCCGGGCTACTCCTCATGCTCGGGGTCTCTTGGCCAGCGTTGGGGGGCGCACCCCTCCCCCCACTAATGGGCGCCGAAACCTCGCCACATCGGCGCGCCGCTCGGGGACGCGGTGCCTCCGGCGCGCGACGGTGGTCCGCGCGGTGGGGATCGCGCCCCCCCTGGGTGTTCGATGAGAAGCGCAGGATGAGCATGGGGGTGCGGGGGATCGGGGTGCGAGTAGGCTTTCCTCAGCGGGGCGTGGGGTGGGCTGGGTGGATCGTGCGGGGGGGGAGGGGGGGTGGCGCGTGTGGGGGAGATGGAACACGCCGACGGGCGGACTGGCATGGGGGCAGGATGGTTGATCAATTTGGAACGCCAGACAATACTGTGCAGACGCGTCCGCAAGAAGCCCTCGCAAGAAACCCAGCCCTGAAAGCCTGCGCGCAAGATGCACGCAGGAGGGAACCCAGCGCACCCTGAACGCAGCAGCTCCTCCAACGTCCGCGAGAAGTCGCCGCGAAGCGCGCGGAGCGAAGAAACCCAGGGTGTCTTGATGCGCGCCCCCACTGGCTTACATCTAGTGATCTCGACCCCCAGCTGCCTTGCTCGCTCGCTGCACGGCGCACGCGCGTGACACTGCAGCCTGGCCCTGAAGAGAGCCCGGAGTCCGAAACGCGCCGCAGTGCAACAAAAAACATGAGACCAGAAATGCACAAAGAGGAGCAGGACGCATGCAAGCGCGTTCGACGAACGACTCAAGGGTCTCTATCAAACAAGCGGACAATCGGCCTGCAGACCCAGGCCTGCAGAGGCTCCAAAGCATCGAGTCTGAGGTGTATCTTCTGTCGCGACCCCTGGGGCCCGTCTTCGGGCCCTGGGACGGGTGGAGAGATCTGGGAGCCCCAGACTCGAAACTCCGCCGAGGCGTTTTCAGCGCGCAGTGGAGCGTCCCAAAGCGTCCTTTATTCAGAAGGATCCCAGGAGAGCCTCAATCGGGCCCCGAAGATCCCAGCGTGGTCCGAAAGGGGGCCCAGGATGGTCCCAAGACGCCTTCAAGAGGCCCCCGAAACGAACAATTCGCGAACATCTTAATGCAAAGCCCCTGTCATCGTCATCATCGTCGTCGCCTGCTTCCTCTCCCATCCTCCTCTCCCGTCTTCCTCCTCTTCCTCTTCCTCCTCTTCCTCTTCCTCCTCCCATCCTCCTCCTGCGCCTTACAAACAACTTCTCCCTGTCGCACCCCGAAGCGTGTCGGTAGGGCAGTCCGGGTGCTTCGCCTGAGACTTCCTCACCTTCTACGATCCTCAAACTTGAATGTTGCAAAAGTTTCACGGATGCAGGGGCAGTCGCTTTCAACATGGAGCTCTCGTTTAGCGCCGCGCACATTCATCTTATGACTTTGCAAGGAGTTTCACAGATGGAGGGCGGGCAGTTTTCAAAATGTGGATCTCGCTCCAGCGCCGCACACATTCGTCTCGAGAGTTCACAAGAGCTTTGCGGATGGAGGGGGGGTACCTTTTCAAAATATGGTAATCGCCTTAACGCCGCGCACGTTCATCTAAATAGCTCGCAACAGTTCCAAATATTCCCATGGTACACGTTACAGAAAGAATGTGTTGGAGCGATGCAGGACTGTCAGGGTGCAATATATCGTGACTTGATTCGGGGGTAACGCATGTTACCCTGGGGGGGGGCACGAGCGGGGAGGTAAAGGTAGCAGCGGCCGCGGCGTGCACCCGCCAGGGTGAGTCCGAGCCACGAGCACATCAATCGCTTGTGTGTACCACAATCCCCGTGCACACGACAGTGCCCACCACCTGCGTGCCAATCCTTGTGTACATGAGAATGACCAACGCCTGCGTGCAACACAGCGCCGCCCGCGTACACCACACTGCCTCCGTACACCACAAATGCCGCGCACCACAGCACCACGTCGCCTGTGTACCGCGGGTTCGTGTCGTGTCGACCCTGGCGTTGTATCCTGACACCGCGGGGATCGCTCAACCTTGAACGATCGACCGTTTCGGGCACCTCAGACCGTTCAACATCGACCGATTCTGGGTCGCTGGTGGCGTTCAACGTTGAACGCCGCCGGCGGGGTCGCCGCCTGCCGACACGACGCGAACCGACCGTACACCACACTGCCTGTGTAGTGCAGCAGCCGCGTGCGCAACAGCGTCTGTGTACCAGCGGGCACATTAGTAGCTTGTGAGCACCACGTTGCGCTTGCGAGCACCACCTAACGCCAGGCCTGTTACGAACCAAGGGCGCGACCAGGGGCCGCGAAGAACGCTTTAGCATGGAACAGTCCCGTCACGGGGGAAACGGGCCCTGAACCCCAGGGGGCGCCAGCAGGACGAATTCGCCAACCCAAATCGCTTTAACAACCCCAAAACCCACCGAGAAACCTAGAGGGACATAACGGAAGGTCCGTGTCGTGACGCCGTGGAAATTGTCTCCTATACCGCGTGGATCGTTTGATCTTGGGCGATCTGCGCGACCGGAAACTCTCAGCCAAGTATCGAAACATGATTTCGCACCGCGTGTTCGTTTCTACGAATCCTGAACCCGAAAGGCACCCCCGTCTTCCCCCGGGCGCGCGTCGCAACCTTGAACGCCCGCGCTGGGTTCGCCGCCGCGCCTTGTCTGCGCTAGCGAGCTACTGCCTGCCGCCAGAGGCAACAACGGACGGCAACGAACGCCCGCAGGCCCGCACCCCCCGCATTGGGGCCACCACGCTGTGAATATGATACTATCTGGTTCCCTCCCCCCTCCCACGTCCTAATCGCAAAGATTCACGCGTGCGCCCGACTGGCAAGCATTACCATTACGAAGGGGTGTCTGGGGGAAGGTCGCAACACGCCTTGCACCCTGGGGTACTCAGAGAACGATCGCGGTTCAAGAGTTTCAAATGGTTGCCTTCCAACGGGAAATGGACCCCCAGTGGAAATGAACCCTTTGTTGGGACCTATGAAAAGGAAGGTTGGAGGGATAGTTTATCAAAACATCGTGGACGAACCTTGGGTTTACACTGGCCTTCTTCTTCCTCCTCCTCCTCTACCCCCTCCACCTCCTCCTCCTCCTCCTCTTCCTCCTCCTCCTCCTCCTCCTCGTCCTCCCCTCATCCTTCGATGCGGCGGGAGGGGGAAGCCAGTGGGCAAACCCGCATCGAGTCAGAACTGAAACGCCGAGCTGCAGGAACCCTCCCTCACTCAGCACCTCCCTCGCCCCCAGGGCGCGTCTGCATGTTGGTCAGACGCGAAAAGGACCTGCGAGGAGGAGGAGGAGGATTACGCTTCAGGCTCTGTCCCTGGGTTCGTGCGACGCCAAAAAATAAGGAAGACGAGGAAGACGAAACTGCGGGGCATGGGGGCTCGAAATGGTGGGGCAGGGGGTCCGAAAATTCCACCGTCCCTCCCCCTGGCAAGTCTCTCCGCTTGCGCTTCCTGAAGTCCCGATTCCTAGGATCGGGGTGGCATGAAGGATTCGCAAGGCTGCCTTCTGCGACCCAAAGGCCCCGCAGCTCACACAGAACCTGACTGGTATAATCCCGAAGGCGCGATGTCAACACACAGGCTACTTGCTCATACCTTGGCCGAATCGCAGCTTTCATCACCTCCTGCGCCGAGGGTGCCAAGTGGAAGCAGCTGGTTTTGGACAACAATCTGCTGCCCCCCCTGTGACACCCTGAAACACATCCACCGGCCACCATCCCACACCGGCGAACGGGGACGAAAACCCCGAGGGGCAGCGGGAGCGGGTCGAAGGGCACGGACGAGACCATCGAACATCTCCATAGCTGTTCGCCAGCGCCCTGGCATCTGAAGCATAGCCTTCGCTACGTCCCTCATACAACGGATAACTGCACTTGAACGCGCGAAGGTCTCAGTTGGAAGCCCCATTCGCTCCGGCGGCTTTTGTTTGGCAAGCCTGTCTGTGCACGTGTTCCCTCGAATCCGAACTACATCGTAGCCAGATGTGGCAGCGCCCCCCCCCTCCTATGCACCC